AATTTTTGGTTAGTAAATAAAAAATAAAATTTTTTTGGTAAGTAAATAAAATAAAATTTTTGGTTAGTAAAAACAAAAAAATTATCCACGTCAGCATGGGCCGTATGCCACGTGGCCTAATTTTGTCATGTCATCAGAAGTTAACTGTTCTGTTAAAGAAATTTGACGAAAAAAAATGGGTTGCCTAAATTGAAGGTAAATTAAAAGTATATTGCTCAAATTGGATGGATTTGAAGTTGGTTGGATATATTGGTTAACTTTTGAAAGTATGTTGCCTAAAACATTAATTAAGTGTCTTACTTTCTAATAAACTTCTCATCTGCAGATTGCAATTTTCATGTATGTAAATCCTTTATGAGCTTCCCTATCAAATGCTCACCTAAAACAACCTACAGTTCACTATGCGTCCATGTTTAGCAGATACACAACTTGAGTTTCCAGCCAAGAATCAAATAGTTCCTCCTAAGTCCTACCAATGCAAGTTCATTATTGAGTGATTCTATAAAATTTGAGGGACTTTGCACGTCCATATTCTCTCTTATTCAGTGAAAACATACAAATGTCATAATCATCTAATAAGGTGTAATTTATAAATTTTCAGTATCAATAAAACAGATAAACACCAATATTAAAAATGAGAGAGAGGAATGAATGCACAAGGTAAAAGATTTGTTGATTGATTACTAGATAATAATTTTCATGAGATGCACAAAATAGTTCAACATCCAATTTAAAGTTCCAGAAACTCCAGATCTGTCTGGAGCTTAAATCCATTCAACATCATCATTACAAAAAACTGAATTCCACTTTTGATACACAAAACATTGGAAATCACACATCACAAAACAATATATACATAAGACGAAAGATAAACATTCTTCCCACATGGTCACTCACATGCAATTCTATTTTAGTCTAAAAACTCTGCTCACTTCATGACACCATAAAACAATAGTAAATCGAAAACAAACACTTTGAAAAGGAAGCATTTTCGAACAAATGAAACACTAGAACCATTACATATAAATACATAATCCATCCAAACTCGAAAACCAGATCTAGAATCGAATTGAAGCTATTACCTCTTATCCAATTTCTAAATGACGGTAAAGATGAGATTAGTCGGAAGTAGCGAAGAAGCTCCAGCCTCCAAGCAAGCAAAGAACCGTTTCAGCAATTGCGCATTTACCGCTGCCAAAAATTCTGTTGTGAAATGTTAAATTGTTAATACTTTAATGGACCAGTTTCAGCAATGGACCTGTTGATACAAAACCCGACCTGAACCCAACCCTGCTTTGGGTCAGGTTTGGGTCAAGTTAATCGGTGTTTTGGGTCTATATCAGGTTAACCCGATTAACCTGATTCTAATCAAGTTAGGTTTAGGTTTATCCATAGTTCAAAATATCAGGATATCCTCGAATATCCTGCAAATTATGCCAGTTTTTTAGGAATCAGATATACCGAAATTCGCTGATATTCACGGATACACGGTTTTTATTTTGGTTTCGAATGTCGAAATATCAGAAGAATCTGTTTTTTCAACCTTCGAAATCGGAATTATAGACCCATCATATCAACAACCGAAACCTGGCAAAATAAAATAAAAAACCTAATTTTAATATTT